TGAGGAAGGGGTGGGGTTGCCCAAAGCAGCAGCAGCAGCAGCAGCAGGGTCCTGGTCCTGAAAGGTAGGGGAGTGCAGGCCAGAAATACTCCCAGGCACTGTCTCTCACCCAGTGCCTGGGGACGGCAGATGTTACCAGCGACTCCCCCGAAGACAGGAATGTTGGACAGTGTCATCGAAGCGACCAATGTGAATTTGACCAAACTCCGGGAGGCAGTGGAAGACAGTAGGGCCTGGCGTGCTCTGGTCCATGGGGTCACCAAGAGTAGGACACGACTTAACGACTAAACAACAAACCAGTTATAAAAGAAGATCTAGCAAACGGCTGAGATAACGCTATTGAAGTAGCCCGCTTCTGGTTGAAAAGAGTCTAATTATCTTAAGATTTTAATTTGTTTTTAATTTTACCTGTATTTCATATGGATCTGTAATTTTAAATTGTGCAATGCTCTGATATAAATAGACAGAATTTAGTATTTATTAAAAATACGGATACACCACCTTTCTGCTAGAGGATTCAAGGCGGTTTATGGTATTAAAAGAAACAAAGTTTAAAACCAAGTAACAAATTATTACAATATTTAAAAAGGCAAACAACATATTAAAACTCATAGGATCATGAAGTTGGGACGGGCCTGTCAGGCCACTGAGTCCCAATTCCTGTTCAATACAAATCATCATAAAAGCAAGATTAAAAACACAAGTAACACACAAAGAATAAAAGGATCTCTAAAAATCCCCTTGGCCAGCTGGGTCCTTTAAAGCAGTGATCCCCAGCCTTGGGTCTCCAGATGTTCTTGGACTTCAACTCCCAGAAATCCTGGCCAGCAGAGGTGGTGGTGAAAAGGCTTCTGGGAGTTGTAGTTCAAGAACATCTGAAGGCCCAAGGTTGGGGACCGCTGCTTTAAAGGACATTGTTCCTGAAGAGAGAGGCGAAAGTAAATCCTACCTGGAAGATATGAAACCCAATTGGGCGGCACTTGTTGTCCGCGCAGTGCTGGCGTAGGGCCACCTTGATGCTGCTCTGCCCCACCGCGGCAGGGATGGTCAGAGGAAAGCAGGGGTTGGTGTGGAAGGACGGGAAGTTCCTGCTCCCGCCGGCGCTCTGCCCTTTTCTCCAACACCCTTCCAGCCGGGCGGTCTCCCACTCGCCACCTGGGAGCTCCTCACGGATGGCGTTGTCCAGCGGAGGCGGTTTTATCTCACTGCCAGAAAGCAGGACAAAGTGAGGAGGACGGCAGGAAGGCCATGCGCCGAAGGAAGGAGAACGAAAGACAGGAGAGAGGAAAAGAAGAGGTTACCTACTTGATGGCTTTGTTAGAGAAAATAAAAACCAACCCAAAAGAAAACTGGAAAAGTGACTGCTGTGCTTTTAGAACAAAAGCTACCGCCTTTAAGATGCTGCCGAGAAGTATAGTTCCCTACCTAGAGTCTTAAGACTGCAACTCCCAGGAATGCTGCCCGGGATAGGCACTGGTGAAGACTTTGGGGAGTTGCCGTCCAAGAACGCTTGGGGGCCCAGGGTTGGGAACCACTGCCTTAAGAGGGTCCGCTTGTTCCTTGCGTTTCACACGAAACCGTTGGGAAAAGCCGTGGCAAAGGCTGGACTGAATACGCAGATGCAGGAAGGTCTCCCTCGCCTTTCTCAGGGCAGCAGTAGAAGAAGAGAACTCTAAATGAGCGCCTGGAGGCAGCTTCTCTCCCGAGAACTTCCGCCAGAGGTCCAATCTCATTCCTTTTGCCTCTACCACATGCAGGAAAAGAGAAGGAAGAGTAGGCGGCTCTCAGATGGTGCTTGTAAGCAGCACCGAGCCCTGAGGTCATGTGAAGTCTCTGTAAAAGTTAGTTACACCTTTCAGCAGTGCTACTGGCTGCCGGACATGCCAATCCAGGATCTCTGTCCTGATTGGCCAGAGCTTCTAATCAGAACTTCTAATTAGAGGCCCCCAAAAGGGTAACGAATATAGACAAATATTAATGGATCGGCAAATAAAACCAAGGGAATATTCATCGATCCGTATTTGTCGTGACCTATAATTCGATGAATACGGATTGACGAATATATGACGAATCAGCTATATTAATCGAAAAAAATGGTTTTATATTCGTCCTTATCTCTAGTCATGGCTCAGCTGGCACCTATAAATCCTAGCTGAGAAGAGATGGTGCTGTTGATGAGGAAAAGAAAGAGAAGGCAAAGCATCCTCACGGGCTTCTTGCATGCAGTGGCTGAGTCTCCAGATTGGGATGTCACTAACAAACTCATCTCCTTCCTAAATAGCAAGCGGCATGCAAAGAGAGCCCTTTTGGTATCTCCGATCAGTGATCAGAGAGAAGAGTGGAGACTCTTTTCCCTTTGACCCTTGGGAAAGTAGGTAGGGCCAAACCAAAAGCCTCTACAAGTTGGGTTCATGGAGACAGGTCGCTGGCCTGGCTTTCAGAAGCTTCTTTGCCAGTCCTACAAATATTCAAAGAAGCCCTCGTTTTTGCCTTGGTGCCCAGCCTGCAGGTCAAAGACCGTGGAAGGCCTCAGACCTTTCTATTAAAGCAAAATAAGACCTAAATCCTCTGGATGCAACCCAATCTCTTCTCTGAGTAGCCTAAGAAGTAGGTGGGTACTTGGGGAAAGGGCATGAAGGAAGCCATCTGCAATTAAAATCATTATTTTATTTTATTCGGAAGTCATAACTCCTTGATCCTCTAGTAAGAAAGCATCCGCAGTAGGTGTTTCTGCAGTTTCCTAAATCACAGCAGAGAAAAAAATGCCCAAACTCAGGAAAGCGCCGTGGAAATTACTGAGGGAAGTCTTCAGCGCCTGACGGTACCTGCTCTGTATTGTAAAATGTGTACGTTTCAGTTCCTGGGATCTCCAGGGAGGGCTGGGAAAGCCCCCTGGTTGAGTTTGAAAGTGGACCAAAACAGAAGGACCTCCTCAGGTTTTCTAGAACGTTCTTCACCTGCTCTGACCTGAGCGGGCTTTCCTTCCATCTCTTCAGGTTACTTCCTTCTTACATTTCTCTTTCGATCCTCTCTGGGAGAGGAAAAAGAAGCCATCTTGCACTTATTCTTAGGGGTTAAGGAGGCAGCTCTGGCGCCCTGCATCTCCCTACCTACCTACCTACCTACCTACCTACCTACCTACCTACCTACCTACCTACCTACCTACCTACCTACCTACCTACCTACCTACCTACCTACCTACCTACCTACCTACCTACCTACCTACCTACCTACCTACCTACCTACCTACCTACCTACCTACCTACCTACCTACCTACCTACCTACCTACCTACCTACCTACCTACCTACCTACCTACCTACCTACCTACCTACCTACCTACCTACCTACCTACCTACCTACCTACCTACCTACCTACCTACCTACCTACCTACCTACCTACCTACCTACCTACCTACCTACCTACCTACCTACCTACCTACCTACCTACCTACCTACCTACCTACCTACCTACCTACCTACCTACCTACCTACCTACCTACCTACCTACCTACCTACCTACCTACCTACTACATTTATACCCTGCCCCTCTAGACCATGTCTACTCGGGGCGGCTTACAACATAAAACATATCAATATAAAATATATGTAATCATAAAAAATACAATTACTATATTAGTTAAAACAATTAATTTAAGAAAGGATCACCAAGATGGGGAAGGATAAGGAAAAAAGAAATTAAAAAAGAGTTACCTGACTGGAGGGAAGGCCTGCCTAAATAGCCAAGTTTTTAACTGTCTTTTAAAAACACCCAGCGAGGGTGCCAGCCGAATTTCTGCTGGAAGGGCATTCCACAGCCGAGGGGGCAC